GTCCCTTCAGGATTTCCGACCGAGTGGGCAAGGTTGCATACCGACTAGATTTGCCTGACGAGCTCAGTCAGATCCACACCACCTTCCATGTCTCTCAGCTTCGGAAAGTGTGTGGCCGATGAGTCCGCGATTGTTCCTTTGGATGATATTCAGGTTGATGATCGTCTGAATTATGTGGAGAGACCAAATACGATCTTGGATAGGAAGGAGAAGGCCTTGCGCGGTCCAATTAATGGCAGCATCGGAGGGGTTCCGAATGGACGTGGGAGCCCGAGGCGGAGATACACGAGCACTACCCAGATTTATTTGCGGCAACAAACTTCGAGGGCGAAGTTTAGTTCAAGTGAGGGAGAGTTGTAAGATCTTAATTTTTCAAGTATTATCTTTTAACCCTTTGAATGTGATTTGTTTGTAGAACCGGTCCCCAATGGCATTTTTGTAATTATTGGCCATGCATGAGTACGCTGGGCGTATGTAACCAGGGCGCAAACCTTAATTTTTAGGGTTTAGACCATATTTAAACGTCTTTATGGCCTCATACTCCCTCTTAACTCCATCCTCCTTCCTCATTTCGAAACCTTAAAGTGTATGAGTGCCTTGTGAAGCTTGAAGAGCCTTTTGGTGCCATTTTGGAGCTTTTGGAGAAGAAGGAAGAACCTTGAGCTTGTGGTGTTTCACTTAATGCCTTGGATTCAACATCTACATTCCTTTGTGCACCTTCTGGAGGTATAAAGCTCTAACCTTGATGAGCATTTCTTTTAGATCTAGTTTTAGCTTAAAGTTGGTTCCTTTTTGTCCCAAATCTTGACCTTTGTGAACATGGAATGCTCTAAGACGTTTGAGTTGTCCTTTCAGATGTTTAGGGGTGTGTTAAGTCATAAAAATGGGATCTTGGACATTGGTTTTTTCCCATGCATGATCTAGGTTGTCTTAGTGGGTCAAGAAGCTAGGGTTTTTGTTATTAAGGTCTTAATAGTCATGCAAAACCATAAAGTTGGAAACTTTATGGTTAAGATCACCTTTTAGGGTATGGATCTGGATTTTGGACGAAGCTGCTTAAGGATTAAGCACTTAATGGATTGAGTTGGTTGGCAGCCGCGTACGCTGGGCGTATGTGGTCAGTTCCTCGTTTTTTGGTCAAACGCGTAGTATGCCCCACGTACCTGTTGAGTACGCCCAACATACTCGCCGAGTTGACCTTGACTAGGAGTTTGACCTAGGGGTATTTTGGGTATTTTTGAGATGTAGTCTGAGTTTGGGTCATTATTATTCGTGAAGGTGAACGGTAGAGTCGATTTTGGGAGTAGCGTATTATTCAGTTTTCATCCGGTTGTGAGGTGAGTCTCCGTACTAGATCCATGGGTTGAAGGCACCAATTCCGACCCATTACTTTGTTGTGTAGAATGCTAGTTGTCTTTGTGATACTTACATGAAAGACCAGGATCTAACCCCTGACAATTGTATGAAAGACCAGGATCTGACCCCTAGCAATTGTATGAAAGACCAGGATCTGACCCCCTGACACTTGTATGTAAGACCGAGATTTGCCCCTCGACATTGCAAGGAAAGACCATGATTTGACCAATGTTAGGAAATGATTGTAAGATTATGATTTGGCCCATAACATTCACTTTCTTATGTATGGTATGTGGTACTTTGGTGAACTCACTAAGCTTTGTGCTTACAATTTATGTTTATGGTTTTAGGTACTTATGGTTCGAAAGGGAAGGGCCCGACGTGATGGCACAACATCCTCCCCTCATGATTTCCGCAAATTTAATAATTGCACTATGATGTTTTGAATATTATGATTTAGTGTTGGGTTTGTAAACAATTGATAAATGATTTGATAGACTTTCAATGAAAAAATTTATCACCGTTTTTGGGCTGTTACAAAAACATAATGTTTTGGCTTGGTTTGTGGTCCAACTTTTTTTTAAGCAAATTCTCCCAAAAAAATTACGATTTTGTTTTCTAAACTTTTTAAGGCTGTTGTAAAAACATTTTGTATAAACATTTTTTTAAAATTTTTTTTACAACCTTTTTATGTATTAGACAATTTTTTTAAACTTTCCCTTACATTTTTACACAACTTTTGTACAACTTTTTACATTTTTATAACATTTTGCGGTCCCTTTATACGTTGTAATGCGTCTTTTTTATATATTTTTATATTTTTTTATACTTTATATATATATTTTTAATTTTTATGTTTTTTTCTTTGCGATTTTTCACATTTAACGTACGTTTTTACAAAAATAATGTTTTAAAAGATTGTAAAAGAAGTTTTAAAAATCTTTTACGGAATTATATAAAAAAAAGATTAATATGGTTGTAAAAAAGTTACAAAAAAAGTTCATTAATAGGTTAAATTTTTTTATAAAAGCTTATATAATAGTGTAAAAAACTTAAAAGGTTGCATAAATGTGTAAAAAAATCGTAATACAACTTTAAGAAAACTATAATAATGTTAAAAAAATATGGTAAAAAAATCCATGATTTTAGATTTAAAAAAAAAGGCTTAAAAGGTAAATTTAGAAAAAACATTAATTTTGAAAAAATTTGTAAAATAAAAAAAATTAGACCAAACTTATAATAAAATTTAAAATTTAAAATAAAAAAACTTAGACCAAAATCATCATAAAAATTTAAAACTTGGGTTAAAAGGGCAAAATTAAAATTTGATATGCTATATCTGCTATAACAAAATAAATATCAAGAAAATATATGTGGGTATTTGAGATTACTTTTTAAGCTCAAAAATTTCTATTTATAAAAGTTTTTTTTTGACTTTAGCTTTCCAGAAAACAAAAAGTGAAAAGTTATTTTTAAAAAGTATTTGGGTTGTAATTTTTGACTTTTAAGTGTAACTTAACTTTTAAAAGGCTAATAATCATAAAATTCACATTTTCATGACATTTGAAAACTCATGTTTTTCTTCTCTATAAAAAAAATTATTTTGAAAAGAACTTTTGTATTTTCCAAACATCTTGGTATTTTTTTGATTTTTTAAAAAAATTAAAAGCCAAAAATTCATTTCAAAAGTAATCCCAAACACCTTCTAAATATAATATTTTTTATATAACAAATTAAATTTATTGACAACTTAAATATAATCAAGATAGTTCGTCTCCTAAAAAGATTCTTAAGTTCTTAACTAACCCTAAAAAGATTCTTAAGTTCTTAACTAACCCTATAAGTATAAACTATCACTAAAAACTCATATTTATTGCATAAATGTGTAAAAAAATCGTAATACAACTTTAAGAAAACTATAATAATGTTAAAAAAATATGGTAAAAAAATCCATGATTTTAGATTTAAAAAAAAAGGCTTAAAAGGTAAATTTAGAAAAAACATTAATTTTGAAAAAATTTGTAAAATAAAAAAAATTAGACCAAATTTATAATAAAATTTAAAATTTAAAATAAAAAAACTTAGACCAAAATCATCATAAAAATTTAAAACTTGGGTTAAAAGGGCAAAATTAAAATTTGATATGCTATATCTGCTATAACAAAATAAATATCAAGAAAATATATGTGGGTATTTGAGATTATTTTTTAAGCTCAAAAATTTCTATTTATAAAAGTTTTTTTTTGACTTTAGCTTTCCAGAAAACAAAAAGTGAAAAGTTATTTTTAAAAAGTATTTGGGTTGTAATTTTTGACTTTTAAGTGTAACTTAACTTTTAAAAGGCTAATAATCATAAAATTCACATTTTCATGACATTGAAAACTCATGTTTTCTTCTCTATAAAAAAAATTATTTTGAAAAGAACTTTTGTATTTTCCAAACATCTTGGTATTTTTTTGATTTTTTAAAAAAATTAAAAGCCAAAAATTCATTTCAAAAGTAATCCCAAACACCTTCTAAATATAATATTTTTTATATAACAAATTAAATTTATTGACAACTTAAATATAATCAAGATAGTTCGTCTCCTAAAAAGATTCTTAAGTTCTTAACTAACCCTAAAAAGATTCTTAAGTTCTTAACTAACCCTATAAGTATAAACTATCACTAAAAACTCATATTTATTGCATAAATGTGTAAAAAAATCGTAATACAACTTTAAGAAAACTATAATAATGTTAAAAAAATATGGTAAAAAAATCTATGATTTTAGATTTAAAAAAAAAAGGCTTAAAAGGTAAATTTAGAAAAAACATTAATTTTGAAAAAATTTGTAAAATAAAAAAAATTAGACCAAATTTATAATAAAATTTAAAATTTAAAATAAAAAAACTTAGACCAAAATCATCATAAAAATTTAAAACTTGGGTTAAAAGGGCAAAATTAAAATTTGATATGCTATATCTGCTATAACAAAATAAATATCAAGAAAATATATGTGGGTATTTGAGATTACTTTTTAAGCTAAAAAATTTCTATTTATAAAAGTTTTTTTTTGACTTTAGCTTTCCAGAAAACAAAATGTGAAAAGTTATTTTTAAAAAGTATTTGGGTTGTAATTTTTGACTTTTAAGTGTAACTTAACTTTTAAAAGGCTAATAATCATAAAATTCACATTTTCATGACATTTGAAAACTCATGTTTTTCTTCTCTATAAAAAAAATTATTTTGAAAAGAACTTTTGTATTTTCCAAACATCTTGGTATTTTTTTGATTTTTAAAAAAAATTAAAAGCCAAAAATTCATTTCAAAAGTAATTCCAAACACCTTCTAAATATAATATTTTTTATATAACAAATTAAATTTATTGACAACTTAAATATAATCAAGATAGTTCGTCTCCTAAAAAGATTCTTAAGTTCTTAACTAACCCTAAAAAGATTCTTAAGTTCTTAACTAACCCTATAAGTATAAACTATCACTAAAAACTCATATTTGGTTGCTTTAGTAATTACATTCTAATCTAAGGGTGGAATTGTGGTCAAAGTAAACTACGAAGGTGATCTTAGGTAATTATCCCAAAGAACCAACGGTGTCGTATCAATCGTCTTCTTCTTTATTCTATTCATAAATTCACCCACTAATGGGAACTGTACATCGCCTTTTCTCCCCCAAATTTATTTTCAATTATATTTTCTTTTTCTAAAAAATCAAAATCGCCCTAAACCTTTAAAACCTCAAAAAATTCTCACCAAAAAAACCCCAAATTCGTATATCATGGCCTTTCATGTCGCATGTCCAATTACATGGTACTACTCTCTATCAATCTACCTCGTACCTCTCTTATTTTCTCACTCTAAATCCCTCTCTTTCTTTCGATTTCAGCCGACGAATCTGTAACTGTAAGCTGGGGTTTCCATCGGAGCTACGGAGCGAGAAGGGGCAGATTGAGTTCTTGGAGGCAGCGGCTAGGGTTGATGCGATTTTTAAGAATCCGTCGTTGATTTATGGTAAACCGAAGTCGGTTCAGGTTCTTGTACCGAAGGTAGTTGTTGCATCTCCACCCCCTCCTCCTCTTCCTCCTCCGATCCAGGCGATTGTGACTCCTAATGCTTCTGCGATTGTGGATGTGGGTGGGGTTGGGGATGCGGCGGAGGAGCTGTTGTCCGCTCAGACTAAGCGTGCGGCGATGCAGAAGAAGGCTGCTGCTGCATCTGTGGCGGCGGAAGATTTTGCTCGTAGATTTGAATCTGGGGATATGGCTGAGGTAAGTTCTCTTTTGAATTTGAGTTCTGGTGATCATTGTTGCAAAATGTGGTTGTATTGAGCCAGACAAAAGCTTTCGTTTTCTGTAATTTGGTAATTCTATGGGTTTTCAAATAGAGTCATTTAATAATGAGATGCAGTGATTGATCTGCTAAGGCCATGAATCAAGCTGTGTTACATGTTTCTACACTGAATCAGCATTAATGGATGTTGTGCATATGTTTTATGCAGGGAGTCGCTAAAGATCTTGCTGCAGATGAACAAGGCCTCTCAAATGCCAAAGTTATGTGTCGCCTCTGTTTCTCAGGTGAAAATGAAGGAAGTGAGAGAGCTAGAAAGATGCTACCATGCAAAACTTGTAACAAGAAATATCACAGAAGCTGTGTGAAGTCTTGGGCTCAAAATAGAGGTACAATCTCCTGTTGCTACTTGCTAACATGTTTCATAATTCTTGAATCTTGATAACTTAGGGTTTTTATTTCAGATCTGTTTCACTGGAGTTCTTGGGCTTGCCCTTCATGTCGTACATGTGAGGTATATTTTCAGTCGATCCTATTTTTTTTTCATTCATGCTATTGATATATAAATCATATATAATCATAAAAATATACTTTTTTTTATATAAAAAACCAGGTATGCAGAAGGACTGGTGACCCAAACAAGCTTATGTTTTGCAAAAGGTGTGATGGTGCGCATCACTGTTATTGTCAGCAACCTCCACACAAGGTAAATTGTAATTTGTAAAAAGTAAAAAACTTTAATTTCCTACATTGAACATCATGTTAGATTCACCATAATGTTATTTATATATATTTAAATTGTGTAGAATGTTAGTAGTGGACCTTATTTGTGCCCTAAGCATACAAAGTGTCACAGCTGTGCATCCACAGTTCCAGGAAATGGTTTAAGTGTCAGGTATGCTTATTTTCACTTATTACATTTAAATTTTTTAAAAAAGTACTTTTTTTTAATAAAATTAACCTTATATCCAACAATTTGCAGGTGGTTTTTAGGGTATACTTGTTGTGATGCTTGTGGGAGATTGTTTGTGAAAGGAAATTACTGCCCTGTTTGTTTAAAGGTATAACTTATATTCTATACTTTGAACATTTTACTTTATATAAACAAAGTTTTTTTATATATATATTTTTATAATAATAATAATTTCAGGTCTATAGAGACTCAGAATCAACTCCCATGGTTTGTTGTGATGTCTGTCAACGTTGGGTGCATTGTCACTGTGATGGAATTAGGTTTTCTTTTAACCCTTAACAAATGTCAATTTTCATTTTTTTTTTAAATAAAATTTGGAAAATATTAATGCAGTGATGAAAAATATTTGCAATTCCAAGTGGACAATAACCTGCAGTATAGATGTGCTACATGTCGTGGAGAATGTTATCAGGTATGAATAATTAATAAACAAACATGAGTTTTTACTTTTTACTACAAAATCTTGATAATTACGAAATTGCCCTTTTGTTTCTGTTTTATGTTTTCAGGTCAGGGATCTTGAAGATGCTGTTCAGGAACTGTGGAGGAGGAGAGACAAAGCTGACCGGGAGCTGACCGCCAACCTCCGGGCAGCTGCAGGGCTGCCCACTCAAGAAGAAATATTTTCAATTCAACCTTATTCAGATGATGAAGATAACAAACCTTCATCAAAGAATGACTTTGGACGTTCATTAAAGTTTTCTCTCAAAGGGGTAGTTGATAAATCCCCTAAAAAGAATAAAGAATCTTTAAAAAAATCTGGAAACAAGAAATCTGTTAAGAAAAAGGGACTCCATGGACCTGTAATTGAAGGTCATAGTGATGCTCAATCTACTGGCTTCATCACAAGTGATAACAAAGATGAAGAGTTTGATGGTGTATGTTCAATAAATCATACAGGGGTAAAATCGGAAAGAAATGTTAATAGAGTGGACACCATGAATGAAAATGGGAAGCTTTCTAACAACACTAAGGGACCAAAACTTGTTATACATTTGGGTTCCAGAAACAAAAGCATATCAAATTCTCCAAGATCTGATGCATCAAATTTACATAAAGATCAAGAGTTGTTAACTTCTAATGGCATTTCAGATCATCATCATCGTCGTCATCATCATCATCATGATCATGATCATGATCATGATCATGATCAAACAAAAGGGTTGAAATTGAGAGGAAAAGAAGGAAACACAATCAAGATCAGAAAGTTGAATCCAGAAGTTTCAGTAGGTGGTAAAAAGAATACAGAGAGGGAGAAGGAGAGGGGGAGGGCCCCACATACTTCAGAACTTAAGCCATTGTTGAGATTAAAGTTCAAGAATCCATATTCTGAAAACCAGACTTCATGGGGTGCTTCTGGTGAAGATGATAAAAGCTGTGTAAAGGGTCAAAGATCTAAAAGGAAAAGGCCATCATCATATGGGAAAGAAGATGAAGATGATATGATGATGGATGATGACATCATGGATGCGAATTGGATCATTCAGAAATTGGGGAAAGATGCGATTGGGAAGAAGGTTGAAGTTCATCAGCCATTGAATAACACATGGTAAGTAATAAATACTATTGTGATTTGTGCATTATCAATTTAATTAAAACATTTAAATTCTGAAATGGTGATGATTTTTGTAGGCATAAGGGGGTTGTGATTGAAGTGTTTGAAGGGACTTCTGTTGTGTCAGTTACTTTAGATGAAGGGAAGAAGACGAGTAATGTTGATCTTGAGAAACAAGGGATTCGGTTTGTTTCACAGAAGCAGAGAAGATGAGGTGGCATTGGGATTGATTTAGGTTTAGTTAAAACTTAAAAAAGGAAGTTATTTAGATGGGTTAATTGGAGTATTTAAATCTCACAAGTTGTAGGATTGTGGTTTATATATAATAGGGGATCAGTGTGTGTAAGTTATGGTGTAGTTTTTGTAGTTTGTAACTGTGTTTGTTTTTTGGAATGTGGTTGAGGATTACAAGATGGTGTATTTGGGTGTCGGATTTTGTTCAAATGTTGTTTTCAAAATTTAAATTGTAGTTTGTAGCGATTGTTGAATTTTCAGAAAACCTAGGGACTGTTTTTGAAATTTACTTCTAAATTTAAGGTGCTTTTGTTCATGGATTTCAAAGGAATATGATGGTATTGGAATGAATCGTTTTGGTTTAGAGGTGCACACATGGCTATTTCCCCTTGAAATAATTTTAGTTGGTTATAATAATATTTTGCAATATTGTTTAGTTTTGATGAAAGTTTAAGAGTGACTTGTTATACTTTGATTATATATCAAATGTTATATTGTGAGATTTTTTCTATTTAAACTTAAACTTTTGTCGTTTTTAATAACCCCTCTTATTATTATTATTTTTATTATTTTTTTTATTCATAATAGACAAATTAAGACGGTTGGTTGTTCTTATGGTTTCTCTCAATGTTGATTAAATACAAGTATTAAAATCGTCTATAAGGTTGGTCCCTACGGTTTCATTTCTTACGTGCTAGTCCTTATGTTTTTATTTTACAAAAATGGTCTAAAATTACTATTTTACCATTAGTTTAATTTTTTATTTATTAATTTTTGATTTTATTTTCAGGTTTAATACATATTTTTAAAACTAATTTTAATCACCAAATAATAAACAAACCTTATCTCTAACCTACTAACACTAATATGAAAAAACATCCATCACCACCAGCATCGTCCGCCACCGCCACTAGCGCCACCATCAACTACCCTTTTCAATGCAATCTCTCTCTCTCTCTCTCTCTCTCTCTCTCTCTCTCTCCACTTTGATCCTAATTGGAGATCCAATAGATTCATCGGAACCACCACCGTCCTCAACCCATAACCCCAACACAACTTGCTGCTTATGTTCTCTTTAGAGAACCATATCCGAAGCTCTCCATTTGTATTCTCCCCATATCAAAACATCGGGTAGCTCGCTGCCTCTCCAAATCAAACCATCACCACCCTACTACCTTATCTTTGCGACGACCCCCTAGCCTTTGTTGAGCAAACCCTAGTCACTACTGTTGATTTGGAGATTTACATGTGTGTGTGTGTGTTGATTTCAAGGTTTATAGGTATCGATTTCAAAATCTAATGTGTGTGTTGATTTTCAGGTGTGTGTGTGTGTGTGATGATTTCTAGATCTGTAGGTATGTGTGTGTGTCGATTTCCAGATCTAGTGGTGGTGGTAGTGGATGATGGTGACAATGAGTGGTGTGTGTTGTAACACCCGTAAATTCCGCCTTTATCAGATGCACCAGATGCTGCCACGTGGCAGCTAGAGAAGCCTCAACCCCAACAACCACTGATGATAAGGCAAAAGCAGAAGGCGCTGTGTAGGGCACGCCACGCTTTTTGAAAAATTTCTTTATATATAGATTTTGACATCCTCATTCATTCCTTGCTAATTCCGATCAAATTCTCTCTCAACCCTTGAGATTTCAATCCCTCATGATTTGATTTCTTCGTTCTTTTATTATCGTTAGCAAAGCGCTGAAGTGTTGGAGAATCTTTTCAAAAGAAGGATTAAGCGTCAAAATCACGCCCGCAAATCTTTCACCTTTAATAAGGTGAGTGCGTAGTTACTTTTCATGACACACGATATTAATAAAAGTATCCGTTATTTAAAAGATTAAATGTCTACCTTATATAGCGAGTACTTGGTTACTTTCTTATCACTAAATCTTAACAAAATTATTTGTTACTTAAAAGATTTAATATATACTGAATGCTTAATATTTGTATGTTGTGTTAAATGTATACCCTCTATTGTGATAATATTGCATGAACAGAAAATTTGTATTTGAAGTTACTTATAAGTATTCTAATTTTGTCTAGTTATAAACCAAGACTTATTTAGGCTTAGTTTAAATTAAGTTGATATTGAGTAGTCTCATTTTGATATGCTTAGTTTATTTAAGTTGGATAATGAGTAGTCTCATACTGGGGGTGTGTGTGAGACAGGAACAAAAAGAAGAGCTTTGTTCTGTGACATTATTACGTGATGGTTTTGTGACATTGTTACGTGTTGGGGTACGGGTTACGTACCGGAGTGCAGTACGCACTAAGTCGTCTAACCGAGTAAGATGAGGACCACTTATTATTCTAGATAGTCTTATGGTACATTATCGGGTGTCCATTCCCGTTGGTGTTTTGTACTCTATCCCCTATGGTTGTCTTTATCCCCAATGTAACATATGTTTGTGATATGATTATGATATCCTTAGAGTTGTATTTTTAAACATGATTTGATATCCAAAAATGTTTAAGTTTATCTGGGACTTTCCGTAACAGAGTTCTATAAAAGACTACCATTTTCAAAACATAAAATAAAAGTTTTTTTCAAGCATTAAATTAGGGGATGTCGCATGTGTTATTGAGTGTGTGTATGTGTTCATGAAGAACAAACCATATAGGTGGAGAAGGTTGGGAGGGAGAAAGAGGTTTTTTTAACCAAAAAATAAATAAGTAATATACAAAAATGTAAAAAGAATAAAAATAATAGAAATGTCATTTTAAATGCGGTTCCAAAAATCTGTCGTGGATTGGTGATTGTCGATTTGTTGATCTTTGAATATAAATATCCAAGCTCACGTTAATGTCGCTTCCTTGTCTTTGGTCCAATTCCTACCACCTTTGTTTGCTTTCATGTTGTTTTTCTTCTTGATTGTTTTGGTTGCTATTCTGGTATCGATTCGTCATTGTCGTGGGAAGGTTGTACTTGAAATGTTGAAATTAAGAAGGATGAAATTGTAGGAATTTGTTTGGTTGTTGGATTTTTTGGCTGGTGGAAGTAATTCCATTGAGATGGATGTTAGAAAAAGGGTTGGTGTTTAATTAGCGAGCTTCATAACATGTTCATGAACCCACGTTGGATGAATCGAAGCGTGTGTATTGTCGAGGTGTGGTGTTTAATGTATATGGACATTTGTGTGAATCGAAATTTGGTGTAATAAACTAAAGGATAAATAACTGATAGTATATGAATAAATAATTTGTGGTTATATTGCGATAGTGTGTATATAATTAGTTAGTATTTTTAGGTAATTTTTTTTTTATATTTACTTTTGTTTATACTCCGTTTGGCGTCTTCTCTCTTTTCTGTAATGCTCAATAGCTCTATCTACGACATACCGCCATCAAAAGGCATAATGATGATGTTCACGTATAGAGATTTAAATGAACCGAACGAACGCGAATGAGGGTTGTTCATGTTCGTTTGCTTAAGTTAGCCGAACACACGAACCAATACGAACAGATAAACGAACGTGTTTTCTTGTTCATGTTTATTCGATTAACAAATTATATTGTTCATGTTCGTTTGTTTATGTTCGTGAACATGCCAAACGAACAAAGATAAATAAACATAATTGAACATTTATCAACATAAACAAACATATAATATAGTAATATAATCAAACACAATTGAACATATATTAACATAAAATGAACTTAAATGAACAAAAACATAAACGAACATAATTCGTTCATTTAACTAAACGAACGAGAATTTGTGTTCACGTTCGTTCATTTATCAAATAAACGAGCATAGACTAATATTTCGTCGAATGGTTTACAACAATTTGTTAAACGTTCAATTCGTTTACAATCATTTTCACATAAAAAAAAGTGTCACATCACCAATACACCCCACCTCAAACCCACTCTACATGGTATAATTCCATTTATTTTTCTCAATTAAGTCCTTTAGTTATCATGGTGGGGATGGGTTTGATTTTTATTACAATATGTCTGCCAATGAAAAATACAAATTTATAAAAATGAGACGTATACGGATTTCTTACAAGAAATTGAAATAAGTCACAATTATTGAAAAAAGGCAAACAATTTTCGTTTATTTATTGATTTTTTTCTTATATTTTATTCATAGAGATGGTTTGGTTTTCCGTAGATAATCTTATTTCTTTTCAATGATATTTTTTTTCCACTAATTATATCCTTAATAATTACTTTTTTGGTATTAATATCTAACTGTATCAGTTTAACTAATCATTAGGGTATAACTATATGCACCACTATCATTAATTTGGCTTAATTTGGCTATCCAAAGTGGGTGCCAAAAAGACGTGTGAGAGCTGAGTTGGATAGTCAAGTTACGCATAAACACCACCCTGATGTCCGGTGGCTTGGCTATGATGGGGTTGCTAAGACGAACGGAGACTACGAATAGGAAGCAAACACATTCAATGGTCCATTTTTGATCATTTTCTTTGTATGGTTGGACCCAAAATTTTTTTATTTAATTTTCAATTTTAAAAATACAAACTACAGCTATAAATACCACTTTTTTTTTCTAAACATTTCACACTACAAACACACACAACTTCTTTCTATTTTCTTATTTTTTCTTCAACCCATAGATCCAAATCAAAATATCTCACCCACTCCAAATGATCAATTTGCAAATCTTAGCTACATGTAATTCATAACATCTTAAATCCAACAACCTCTCATTAATATGGAAGGCTCAATTAATATTCAACCTGGAAAAAAAAATCAAATATAATATCGATTCTTCCAAAGATCAATGTTATTCCTATTATTCCTATTTAGAGGACTTTTTTAATCAATTTCTCTTTCAATTTTACAAAGGGAAATCTCCAAAAAAGTCCCAAAGTTTTGGGCCAATTTATGATCTAGTCCTAAATTAAATTTCATTAATGAAAAATGACAGGAAACCGGCCATTGTAATCAATTTAACTGTTTTTACCTTTTGTAGCAGGTTAATGCTGATGTGGCATGCCAAATGGATTGTTTGGCTGAGGTGGCATGCTATTTCTTTATAATTTAAAAAAACTGATTTTTTGGAGAAAAAAGGGGAGGGGACTCGAACCCATGACCTCCCACTCCCAAACCTTATATATTACCATGTGAACTAGAAAGTTTAATTGTTATTATTTCATTAACTTTATTTATAAAAGTTCTATAACCTTCGTCTTCCTCCTTACATCAGCCCAACAGGACCATTCGATATACCTTTAGTCTTGCCTCCATTTTCTTCCCCAAAACCCTGTTGAAACTCGAATTCTTTTTCTAATTCATCA